GGGGGGGGGGGGGGGGGGGGGGGGAAACTGGCGGGACAGACTGCAGATGCCCGATCAGAACCCCCTCACGGTGCCTCCCCTGCCCCGAACATTAGACGTTTCCATTGTTCCCTGCGCAGGAGGGGGCAAAAAGCAAAGCTCCCCTCCTCCTCCTCCTCCTCTTCTTCTCCTCCAGGTGCAGAGCGGTCTCTCCTGCCCAGACTACCCGGCAGCCGCAGAATGAACGGGGCGGGGGGGGAGGCAGGCAAGAGATGGGGAAAAGCATAGTTTCCTGTCACCCGGATATGATTCGCCGCCGCGCCGCAAATCTATGGAAGCTGTAGTTCAGTGTGGGAGCGCTGGAACCATCAGGTCCCGGAAAGTGGCATAATAAGGACTTTAATTCCCATCGTCCTTTGGGAACGAAGGTCCGCCCAGGAGGCCGCGTTGTGATCGCTTGTAATCAATGCGGTCCCGCTCTTCAGTTTAAGTGATTCTGAAAGGCGCTTTTGGTTCTGTCAGAATCATTGCAAATCACATTTCATATCTGAGCAATGAGTCCTATTAGATTATCACTGTGGCAATATGGAGCAGACTGGGGCATTTCTGAAGCTCTCCCCTTGGAGTTAGAGGAGATGGAAAATTAATTGGATTAATTTGAATCAAAATTACAATTTCCCTGGGGAGATCTGAGGTGGTTGGGAGATGTAAACCAACTGCAACAGGTTCAAGTTTAGCAAATACTAGAAGGAGCAGAGGTAGACCAAGAATGCCTAATATGATCAAATGCCTTATGAACCTTGCTTAATCTTTGTTTCACTCACTGTGTGACCTTTTGCTGTTTTCAGGGTAATCTGTAGCCAAGATTTTAATCAATGTCAGTAAAAGAAATTAGCCACCAACTGACACTGTTAGTAGACCTTATTCCCAGTTTGTAAATCAGTAATCTGGGGGCTTCAAATAATGTGAGAAATAAGAGCTTATCCTGTTTGCTTTTGATATACAAAGGAGATGTGGGATAAGGATTTCCCATGTGTGATGTCTGTCTGTTTGTCTGTCTCTCTCTCAATATGTATTGCTCTGAAATTTACTCACATTTCATGTCAGAGTGAACATATTTCTTACTGGCCATTTGGGTTTGCAATGGAAATACTTTTAAAAATCTAGCTGATCTACATGTTTGTTTTGCAGAGAACCACCTTTCTAGACATGATGTGTACTTCTACAACATATTGAGCTCGAGTATAAGGTTTGGATTTTAAAAAGGAATTTTCTCTCACAACGACTTGAGAAAAGGTCAAAATGTGACAGTCAGATGACTAAATCCTAGGAGTCAAGAGATGTGCTTGGTATAAATAGTCTTATCCTGTTAATTTTATTTCTAAGCAAAGAATGAACTTAAGTAAAATGAATTAAATCTCTCTGTACTGCTGAATATCTAGGTGTGACAGTTATACAGTACCTCAGAGAGATACCTGATTCATCAGCCTTATCAGTCAAGCTTTAATCCAATAAAAGATGGATTTTCCAGCAAATGGGATAATCAGGCTAAAATCAAGTATTTTTAAAATAGTATCTTTCTTTTTCACCTTCCTCCACAATGTCATTGTCCTTCTAGGATGCGTTTTTTGGTGAACTAAAGCCAATGAAGATGTACTCCAGTCTGTGCTTCCTATAGCAGCAGTCTCATTGAAACAGCATTTGTTATTCATCAACAACTCTGGCTGGGCAACCTCATATTCTTAGCCAAACAATGTTACCAAATCCCCAAACTCTGTCCTTTCTCCCCCACCCCAACCCCCTAACTTTTCAAAGAAACTGTAAACCAGGACAGAGATACTCCAGGTTGGCAAAGAGGAAGACAAGCTGTATACTCTACCCTTGTTTATTCAGTCTGTATGTGGAATATATATTGAAGAAAGCTGGATTGGAGGAAGAAACACCAATATTTTGCACTGATAGCAGAAAATGCAAATGATTTGCAAGCTTTGGTAATGAAAGTCAAGGGTCATAGTGAAAAAAATGGGACTAAGATGAAATATAAAGAAAACCAAATTAAATGCAAGTACAGCAACCAGTCTTAGAACTGACAATGAAGCTATTGAAGTGGTAGATACCTCTGCCTTTTAGGATCAACTATCAACAGTAAAGGAACCAATGGTGAAGAAATACATGGCAGACTAGCCCTTGATGAGGTAGCAATGAAGGCCTTGGAAAAGATATTCAGATGCTGGTATGTGTGTATACCTACAAAGATCAGAATTGTACAGGCAATGGTTTTCCTTGTGATACTCTATGGAACCAAAAATTGGACTCTGAAGAAGCAGGATAGAAAGAATATTGATGCTTCCAACTTTAGTGTTGGAAAAGACTCCTGAGAATACCACGGATAGTCAAGAAAACAAATAGCTCATTGAACAAATCAACCCAGAGTTCTTTCTTGAGGCACAAATGACAAAACTCAGATTATCCTACTTCAGACATATTATGCAAAGATCTAGCTCTCTGGAGAAGTCTATAATACTGGGAAAGGTGGAAGGAAAGAGAAGAAAAGGAAGCCCAGCAGCAAGGTGGATGGACTCAGTTACAGCACGAATGGATACACCATTGGAAGGCCTGAAGAACCATTTGTGTGGCTGTTAAGAGTTGGTACAGTACCAACCTGATGGCTCATAATCAATCAGACCAGAGAAAAATCTCAAGTTTATCTCTGATACAGCCAAGCATTTGGAGGATTAGCAAGGCTCTAGGGCAGAAATGAGAAATTTCTCAAGGGCTGCAATGCAAAGATACTTTATAGCACTGAGTTCCCAGAGTTCCCAAACAGGATGGGGGATGGGGGAGGGGATTCCAGAACTTCGCAGTTCATAGTGATTCCATGTTGAGCCCTATGTATTATTTTGTGTCTAAGATTCAGGCCACCACTGCTCTCCAGATAGTCTCTGTAGTCTAGACTAGTCTAACAGGCACACAGGAAAGATAATTTCTGAACCTTTTCTTTTTTTCTTTAGGGAGGATTTCAGTCTCCAAATTGGAGCCATCCCACATATCTCCACAATCTGAAGTGTGTGTGTGTTTGCCTTTTTTCACCTTACTTTCTGCTTCTGCTAAACACGGCTTAACAGAAAGAAATCAAACTTCCATATACTGAGTTGTTTACCTAAACCTTGGCACACCACTTCCCGTTAAAAAAAAAATCTCCAAGACCTTTACAATAAAATGCCAATAGTTCAAACATTATGTTAAAAAGTATCAATAAAAAAACATTAAAATATATAAAATACACAAAATAAAATCATAACTTAGAAAATAAAAGCAATAACAATATCCCAGCAGCATTAACACCTGAGTGGCCTGGAGAATAAGAATGTGTTTGCCTGGCACTGAAAAGACAATAAACTAAGATCCAAGAGCCTGTTCCTTCCAACATCCTTTTGGGATTCTTTCTGCCACTCTATCCTAATTTTCAGTCATTCTGTCTTCGCACCCCCTGCCATTTGGGATGCTTTCAGAAGCCTGAGATGCCATAGCTGCACAATATTTTGGGGAGGACTTGATCTAATTTGCATGCACTTGACTATTTATTTTGTATTTTGGACTAAGGTACTACTTAGCCCCAGCTAAAACCATTAGAATTTGTTGTATTGTTTACTGCTCCCCAAAGAAATATCTTGAGTAATTTGATTTGGTATGTTATATGTTGGCTAATAAAACCTCCTTTAATAGGAAGAGATTGTATAAGCATGGTTAGCTGGGTTCAATTCACCAAAGTACCCTTGGGGCGATTGTTTTAAGACCTCTTAGTGAATATGTATTACTCATGTTTGAACCATGCTCCTGAGATGTCTGGTAACACTATGGGTTCTTTGCGGCAATAGAATTCTTTGTTTTGGTGTGTTATGGTTGTTTATATGTTTGTTGGTAGGCAATGGCATATAAAGGGAATTCAGTCTCTACAGCAGACTTGCTTCAGTCAAAATACCAAAGGATTGGTAGGTTTTATACCCCCCACCCAGATCCCAAAGAGGGGAATAATTTCCAAACAACAGCACACTTCATTAATAGGCTTCATTTGGTGAGATGTTTTAAATAAGCTAGAATGATGACTATCCAATCTGGTGGCAAGAAACAGAGTTCAATTTGCTTTTTTTTTTTTTTTTGCACTGACAGTTTCTTCTGTACCTTTTTAAGGATCTGATAAACAAAACTACCACTAAGACTGATTTTGCCTGTTCCCTATAGGTATCAGTGGGGTCAACAGGCCTTTATTCCTTTCAAAATATGTTCATAATTCTATATGCACATGGCAGAGTAACTTGTTGAAAATTACTGAAATATTGGGAAACACTGGAGTGTATTTAGAATTCATAATTGTTTTGCAGATTTTTTTGTCTAGAAATGTCCAGAATTAGGACAAATACCTACTGTTAAACAGTTGTTGATGTAATAGGAAAGGTAAGCATAGATATGTTTAATTGGATGGAAGCAATGCCCAAGTAGACACACAGTTAATACTATTGGCCACTGGACTTGTATATACATGATATGGATTCATTGGGCATCACTACAGATATGAATAAGATAGTGTTATAATACAGCATGCTACTAAGCGGCAGCGTGACTCAGTTACAGGTGAGAAAATAGAAGAAATGAGAGCACACTTTCAAGCAGTAGTGTGGCTAGTTAATTTTAGGCCCTAAGATGT